AATGTATATATTATATAGATAGAAATACTGGTTGTTGTACCAGAAGGAAGATTCGAACCCATCTTAACGCCTGATTCGATACTAGTTGAACTCAGAACTTAGAATGTATATATTGTATAGATAGAAACACTGGTTGTTGTACCAGAAGGAAGATTCGAACCCACCTGATTCTGTACTAGTTGAACTCAGAACTTAGAATGTATATATTATATAGATAGAAATACTGGTTGTTGTACCAGAAGGAAGATTCGAACCCATCTTAACGCCTGATTCGATACTAGTTGAACTCAGAACTTAGAATGTATATATTGTATAGATAGAAACACTGGTTGTTGTACCAGAAGGAAGATTCGAACCCACCTGATTCTGTACTAGTTGAACTCAGAACTTAGAATGTATATATTATATAGATAGAAATACTGGTTGTTGTACCAGAAGGAAGATTCGAACCCATCTTAACGCCTGATTCGATACTAGTTGAACTCAGAACTTAGAATGTATATATTGTATAGATAGAAACACTGGTTGTTGTACCAGAAGGAAGATTCGAACCCATCTTAACGCCTGATTCGATACTAGTTGAACTCAGAACTTAGAATGTATATATTGTATAGATAGAAACACTGGTTGTTGTACCAGAAGGGAGATTCGAACCCACCTGATTCTGTACTAGTTGAACTCAGAACTTAGAATGTATATACTGTATAGATAGAAACACTGGTTGTTGTACCAGAAGGAAGATTCGAACCCACCTGATTCTATACTAGTTGAACTCAGAACTTAGAATGTATATATTGTATAGATAGAAACACTGGTTGTTGTACCAGAAGGAAGATTCGAACCCACCTGATTCGATACTAGCTGAACTCAGAACTTTGAATGTATATATTGTATGGATAGAAGCACTGGTCGTTGTACCAGAGGGAAGATTCGAACCCACCTTAACGCCTGATTCTGTACTAGCTGAACCTAGTAAAGATGTTATATAACTATAATCAATATATAATATAAAAGAAGATTATATTTTAATGTATTTAAAGGGTAGCTATAGAAATAACTCTTCATCTTTCTCCTCCCTTATTTTATTAACATCATTTCAATAAATACTTAATATATACTTATCAACTTTACATCGTCGTTAAAACCACGCTCTTTAATCCATAAAGGGACTATGGTTCACTTTATACACATAGCTTTCTATTGTGGTATGTATTTCAATAAATACATTAATATAATACTTATCAACTTTATCATACTGTAAACAATAAGCTATAATGTTTAGATTCTTTCTGTCGAGGGCTGAGATTGGCTGTATTCACTAGCATACATTCCAATCAAATCACTGCATTCCGTGATACAAGAAAAGTGCCTAATGATGTCAAGGTATAAGTCCTGTGCTGATTTGATACTTAGATAACATGAGACCATGAGGATTGCAAAACAAAAACCCGACATATATACACATTATGATTTACTTACTTTGATATACTTCCTCATGTAAAATGTTCAATAGTTGTTAGCAATGTTTCACCATAATGTTGTTTTGGTTTTCGGGTTTCGTTTTGCGGTTCGTTAGTATTTGGTTTATTTATTGTGTTTCTTATATAAATTTTTGTTATAATTGTTTCAAAGTTCGTTAAATTTGTTACCAAAAGAACTTTTCCCAACCTCGACAAGACAAGATGGAGACCTACTAACCTACCGTAGTTCAAAGCGATTTAATTTATTATTTATTTATACCCAGTATTAACCACCTGACTATATAAAAACTATACATGATAAATAATTGATCTATCATGACAGATTTTGACCGTATTTTACAAAATCAGCTTTTAGTGTGAATCACATCCGGGAAATGTTCCGACTGTCTAATTCAATTCCTACGTTACAGATCTTCAACTTTATAATCTATATAAGATAGTTAAGGTCGAATGTTAGACCTAATGAATCCCCTACAACCAGAGTTTCTCTAGTAAATAAACTGAAGTGCCACTTTCATTGTTTGAAATTGCTAAAGCGCCACAGAACTTAGTGAATTTTTTTTTTCGAAATCCGCCTCGCGCGTCATTTTGCATGCTCTGTAGCTTATGCCGACAACTATAAGTTTCGTGTAAAATACATTTGCAACCATATACAATGTCAAGGTATTACGAACTTATAGATTGACATGGGGAAGATGACACAATGATTGTTAAAGTGCGACCCATGTACAATAAAGAGTTTATTATTATTATTGTTAAGTGATCTCTAGTGACTAAAACCAGCGAGTGATCTTATTCTCAAATGTCGCTAGTTGTTATCAGTTTTTGAAAATAATGTTGCTCTCAGGTTTTCTAAGTTGTCATCTACTTGCTCTTATATTCTGATAATCAAAAGGTGGACGACTGTACCTGAAACCCATGACGAGTATATAAACTATATTCTGATAATCAAAAGGTGTACGACTTTACCTGAAACCCATGACGAGTATATAAACTATATTCTGATAATCAAAAGGTGGACGACTGTACCTGAAACCCATGACGAGTATATAAACTATATTCTGATAATCAAAAGGTGTACGACTTTACCTGAAACCCATGACGAGTATATAAACTATATTCTGATAATCAAAAGGTGGACGACTATACCTGAAACCCATGACGAGTATATAAACTATATTCTGATAATCAAAAGGTGGACGACTATACCTGAAACCCATGACGAGTATATAAACTATATTCTGATAATCAAAAGGTGGACGACTATACCTGAAACCCATGACGAGTATATAAACTATATTCTGATAATCAAAAGGTGGACGACTGTACCTGAAACCCATGACGGGTATATAAACTATATTCTGATAATCAAAAGGTGGACGACTGTACCTGAAACCCATGACGAGTATATAAACTATATTCTGATAATCAAAAGGTGTACGACTTTACCTGAAACCCATGACGAGTATATAAACTATATTCTGATAATCAAAAGGTGGACGACTGTACCTGAAACCCATGACGGGTATATAAACTATATTCTGATAATCAAAAGGTGGACGACTGTACCTGAAACCCATGACGAGTATATAAACTATATTCTGATAATCAAAAGGTGGACGACTATACCTGAAACCCATGACGAGTATATAACTATATTCTGATAATC